AAAATGATGATAATGTTTGAAAACAAGTTGCTTAAATGTTGGTACATTAGAATAAAGAACAAATATATAGACAAATAAAACAGCTAATTATTAGTTAAATAAATTTGTGTGAACATATTATAGTTAGAAATTTGTTGTACTAAAAATTACGTTTAATACAATGCTATATAGAAATATTTTGCAAATAAGACCAAAAAAAAGAAGAAAGAAAAAGTTGATTGCAATAATTATAGGTGTATGTTCGATCCACAGACAGAAATCGTACACTTTTAAGTGCAGTATCAAATTTAATTGGAATGTTTTCGAAGAGTACCACGAAAGAAGGTGTAGATTTTCCAAATGATTCTAGATGGCCACTGCATTATGTTGCTATACCAATTCATACAGTTGATCCAGAGACTGATCGAGTAATTTACAGAATAACTTCTTCTTTTTTTTTCACATATTTTTCTTCTGTTTAAAATGAATAAAAATTCGATTTTGCTTTTTTGTTTTTAGTTAGTGGATCCGTTGGTTGCATGTAAAAGATATGATGATCTTTGGAAGTCTGCACAATCGTCACAAGCATATCTTAATTTTACACGCAAATATCAGGTTTTGAATAAAATTTTACTGCTCTTTACAGTGTTGATGCTAATGTTTTAAATTTCATTTTTTTCTTTCTTAAACAAACAAACAGAAAGCAACGGAAAAAAGAAACCTAAATTTATATATTTTTGTAAAAATTAAATTAACAACTTTATTCTGCTGTTAAATTACACAAATTGCTGTTACACTACAAAATTTTAAGTAAAAATCTAAAAAAAAACTACAATGTTTAGGATGTACTCGATGAAATAAATAAATATGCTGGAGAGACGGTGAACATGGGACGTGTATGGTACATTTACGATACAATATATACCAGTGTAATATAGATTTATCATAATTATTACTGCTTAATATTATTGTCATCAATCATTTTAAATTGACCCCCCCCCCCCTCCAAAGAAAAAAAGGCTTTTGTTTTCATTTTGTTTTTTAATCATTTTACTTCTTCGCACCTATTTTTCTAATCTTTAATCACATTTGATAATAGTTTGCTGAGTTTTTTTTTTTTGTTCATTTGTTGTTGTTTTGTTACAGTTACACAACAATAAAACGGTGTCAATTAATGCAACACTTTTCAAAAAAATTGAAGAAGTGAAAAGGATGATTGATGATATGGAAGATGGCCTATGTCTGTTTTTTTTCTTCTTTTTTTTTTCTTCTTTTTCTCTTTTTCTTTTAAAAGATTTTTGTGTAATTTGGTGATTTGAAAGAAAAAAATAATAATTTTACTTACTTCAAAAAAAGTTACTGTTAACGAAAGGAAAAAAAAAGTTGTTGCAAGACATTTCTTAATATAGTCAACTAAAAAAAGTTAAAAAAGTAAACTTATTCTTGGCTAAAATTAATTGAACTGTTTTTTATTTTTGTTTAGTTTTACCAGCTGAAAATGGCATTGATTATCGTCAAGAAATTCCAAAAGTACGTAGCGGATTACTGTTAAACACAATGGTTGACCGTATGCAACTAAAGGTATTTTATCCGATATTTTTGGTATTGCATTTGAGAACAAATCTGCAAACAAAAACAAAAAACAAAATTTATGTTTTTTTTCTTTGGTATATTTTAGAAGAAAAATTTTTTTATCAATTTTTTTCAAATTAAAAATAAAATTTTGTTTTTTTTTTTTAAATATTAATTTAGTCAGTGTTTAGTGGAGCTGTTTAAATTCAAACGAATCCAAATGTCAATGGATCAACAAACTTAAATACTATGTCTATTCAGCAGTATGCTTTTTGGTTTTTTTTTTCGTTTTTTAATAATTGCCTGGTTACAGAAAATGTTAATGAGTATCAATTTCTGATGTGTTCAATAAATTTAAAAAATTTAAAACTGTAAGTTTCTTTCTTTGTTTTTAGTGATTGATTAAATACTTTTTAGCATGACAACACTTTAAGTGGCCTCCTTTCGGCATTAGGCAATAAAACTGCTGTGGTACCAAATGGATATCCATTTTATGCGGCTTGTATAGCGTTGGAACTATGGAATATCAACAATGAGCCTGTAGTTAAGGTAGGAAGAGTCTGATCAAAAAACAAGAACAAAAAAAAATTACTTTTAGTAATTATATAGAAGTCGACAAATTTTTATTTCAGTCATAAACATAGCTGTAATATTTTAGCTAAAATTTCATCAAGATGAAGACGATATACCAGGTTTTCGAAAGATTCCAGGAAATAACGGATTTGAAACATTCACACATATAATTGAAGGTAAAGTAAATTTTGATCTGACTGATTCTATGTTTTTTCCCCGCAATTATGCAAAAACAAAATTTCAATATATTTTTTTCTAATCAACTAAATTATAGTGCCTAAATTATTTTTAATGCTTGTTAATGATTGGAATACAAGTGCTAAGATTAATTAGAAAGATAAAAAGCACAAAAGTAGGTAATTTGCTATTGAAGGTTGCGAAAAAGTGACTGCCGACCAGTTTTGTCCATTGAAAACAGTACAGCAAAGAGCCGATAAATCTAATCCTGTTGATATTAATAAGGTAATTTATTTAATATTTTCTAGAAATTTATGTGCTTATAAAATACTTTCGTTCAACCTTAAAAAGTCTGACCTAATTGCTGCTACTGTCCACTATTATTATTATTATTATTTTTACTAATAAAAAGTAATAAAGCGTAAGCTTAGATTTAAAAAAAATAAGAATTTACAAAAAAAAAAGAAATTACCTAATTTTTTTTTATTAAAATAAGTTTTATAAATCAAACATACTAATTTTTTTTTTAGTATATCTTCACAGATCATTGTATAAAGTAAAGTTGACAAAATGATAGCTTAACAATACGTAGTAAAAAAGATTATATTTATAGCTTTGTGACCAGACTACTGAAAATAAAAGTACGTCGTCAAGCGGCAAAAGTATATCGTCACTGTTTGGTAAAGTTTATTTTTTGAAGCCACTTTTGTATTCCAAATTCTGAAAAAAAAAAATTAGTGTTAACAAATTAAAGTTTTTGTTTGCATTATTGTATTGTAATTATTCTTGTCAAAATTTCTTCTACTTTATTTGACAGAATATCATCAGCTTTACTAATATGAGTTACAAAAACCTAAAAAAAATATCGTTTATTAATTTGTTTGAAAGTACCACAATACTCTGTAGATTGTTCTTTTTTTCTGTCATTTCTTAGTCATTTAAACTAACCTAACAGATATTTTTTATTTTAACATTTGCCGTTTGGGCTATTTCGTACTGTTCGCTGCAGTACACTGATAAGCACAAATGACTTATATAGAATACTCATTTGGCAAAAAAAAAAA